TAAAAAAGCAAAAAAAAAAACTTAAGAACGTAAATAGGTGTTTTTCACATTTCTGGCTACGTTTTCAACGTAAAAGTATCCACAACACTCTTTCTCCTAGCGAACCGTGAGTGCCGCGTAACGGAACCTGTAGTTCAAGTTCCGTTACGCGGCAGATCCGGAATCGCCGATTTAAGCTCGCGAGATCGTTATTGATAGGCGTTATGTTGTGTCGTCGATCAACAACGGCAATTTTTACTACATCCTCATTGTCACCAGTAAACAACCATTGTTTGTACTAATAAATTTGGCACCAATCAAGAATTTCACGTATACGCATGCCAATACGTATCCAAATAGTTTTAATTTTTTCATTCTACATCATTTCCGTCCGCTCACTATTAATGATCGAGTAGTCAATTATTAAAAAACACGCTACAAGGAAACGTTTCTAAAAACAAAGTGATATTGGCTAAGGACGCAGGCGCGGTTCTCAAAGAGGCGCTCGACCAATTGAAACTCGGGTCGTAAGTTAAGCCAAACGTTGTTAACGTCAAATTAAATACTTCGCCTTTGTTCTAACGAGTTACTGCTATTCGCGCAAATAGAAAAGCTCGCCCTATGTCTAAACAGGTGTTCTATCGTTTACTTACCACATCGCTGTCTAGTGATCTAGAAGCGAACACTGTAGTCTACAGTTTGTTTAAGTCTTTTCTATTTTTAATCTCAGTCATGAGGAAGTTCTCTCAAAGGTTGTTAGGACCGATCCTTCATAGCACTGTTCAACAGCTGATCGCGACTTAGTTTCTGGGAAGCACGCGTCGTGTAACGAACGCCTACGTCGTTTTGGTTTCGTGCGCCAGACCCTATTACTATAACACATCGAGATATCTCGTACATTGCTTTAGTCACGTATAGGAAAAGGTGGATCTGAACCTATTACGCGAAAAATATCACCACGTTGACTCAAACAGGCTCAGTACAATTGATTCGTTTTCAAAAAAATAGAGAAAAGACAGGTCATAGGCCTCACAAGCTAAAGAAGTAGCCAAGAATAGGGTTATATAGGCCATTAATGATTCTGTCGTAAATGGTCAGTCATTCAACAAAATCAGAGTAAATTGCCTGCTTTCTGAGAACGGACTGTGGCTATAGTTAGAAGAGACAAAGCTCTACGATAATTTACTGGCAAGTTAAGCAGGTTATGACTCGTCTACCATAAGTCCACATGGAGTTCTGCGATGCAATGGAAGGTTGGGTTTTTAACGGGTCAACTATTGGCACGTTGAAAAGTCACATCTGTTTGAAAAGTGAATCGCAGTGCTCTAAAGCCAACTTGCATTGAATCCTGTGTATTTATAATGGTTGTGCATGCTTCCAGTATAAATCATTATCTTAGTTTAAATAGACATTTATAGAAAATACACCGGCTGACTGAGTTGTACTCTGAGGCTATGTAGTTACTTTACTCTGAATTTCAGATATGGCCGAACTGCAGTGGCCCACTTCACCTCACCTTAACTTGGCCCATATCATCCTTAGGATAGCTAATGTTATACAATGCGATATACAGAATTAAGGTCTAACATCGGAGTAGGCAAAACAAGCTGTGGCAGAAAAAAAACACAAGATGGTTATCTTGCTTGTTCAACAAAGGTTACACGTTCTAAAATTTTGATAACAAAATAAATTACCAGTAACATATTCCGCAGTGAATTTTTAGCCAGTGTCATTGAAAAGTTCTTTAATCAACGCTCGTGTGCTTGTGGACTTGTAGAACTGTATTTGTTATAGTGCAAATATGCTCTCACTAACCGCCAGCAGGGTCTGGTTTCTCTGAAATAGACCTTCATGGTCCACTTTCATCTGCGGGATATCACTGCAGGATAGTTTCAGGTACTCTTTACTGATGGGCCTTAGCAGATGTATCCTTGCTCTAGGCCGATCACTTTACTAGAACATTTGCCTCGGGAATTAATGTTCCCCGAGTAGAAGGAAAAGCATAATTCTGTATGAATAGGTTTCCAATGATAAATTCAAGGAATACGGAGGTGACCCAAAAGGAGTTACAATGGACAAGTCTTCCAGCGAACACCCTTATTTTATTATAAAATTTGTTAATCGTACCTTCGCTGTTTGACGCACAGCGAGGCAAATCAAGTTACTACGGTAGTTACATATGTATATATGTGTGTGTGTGTGTGTGTGTGTGTGTACTATTTTCTGTTTTCACTTGCCATGGCATACGGTGCCGATATCTGGCATTGCGCAAAGCGCTGCGAGCCCCAATTATTTTTATACTAACATACAAGCTATATGAAAATAAGCAGTACGATTTTTTAGAAATATACAAAACTATGTTTGTTTAGGAGAGTGTGCTAGATAGATTAACTGGTGTGAGTAGTTGCCGTCCTCAGGGGTACCAGAACATCAGCGTAACAGTTGCAAGTGCCTGATCGTTGCAGTCCGGAGAAAATATATTTTTTTCTGCTAATCTCCAAACGGTGCTGCATTCGCGATTACGTTCAATTTAAAAACTGCGATTCGTTGTAGAAGCTATCCACCGGCGCCGGGACCAGGTCTAAAAAGTGAGGTTTTTAAATGATATCGCACTCATGTGTGCATTGGCGAAAGCAGCAAGTAAGAGACATGTATGAGGGCAAAATCTTCTTAAACTTATTAGTGAGCAAGGTATGGAGACAGTATTTATTTTTTATGGTGATCAAACCTATTTACGAAGAGTTCTAGCCGAAACAAATGGGTCCGTTTAACAGAAAAGTTTGACACCAGTAGCTATTTCGTCAAAAGGTGCATAACTTTTCTTGAAATATATCTGCTTCTCACTCATCGATATCAAAAACAAACCCATCATATAATGCCAATTTCATTAGCCCATTCCTACGAATGATGTCAGCCGGTCGGAGTGTTCGAGTTAAGGGGCTCTCCATGTACCAAAGACTGGTATCTTTATTCTGCGCTGTGTTACAAATCGCAGATGCTTTCTTGATTGTTACGATATGACTAACTGTTTACGTAATTAAACTACCTGTCTTGCTGGTGACTACAAATTAGGTTATATTATATTTTTACGTTTTCCGCTACTTGAGCCGTTACGGGTGACTTCAGATAAACTAGATTATAGTGATCGAGCTTGACCCTCGCTCTACTTATGTTTATCCACTGTCCACAGAGTTGTCGGTACAGGCCATGGTATTACCATGCTTCCGAACATCAGATAATCACAACGGCTATAGCTTTTCGATGCGGCGTATTTTCTCTTACGCAGCTATTGTTTTTTGAATGAGAATCTTTAAAATGGCCTCGCCTGCACTGCGCACCAGACTTCAAGTCGACTCGAAAGAAAAATGCAGTGCCCATCATAACCGACCATGAACAAACCTGCTACTTAACAGAAAATGGAGTAAATACAAAAAAGAAAGAAAAAGAGATAAGCTACCCAGTTGACGAGTCCAGCAAACCCATCGCTGTTGCCTGTACAGCTGTTCCTGCCCACCGCTCCAGTAAATATGTCCGCGCTCGTCAAATAGTCATCCTGCCCATATAATTTCGCTACACGACCCCCCACACTGTCCCCCTTGCCCACAAATGCCATCGCGGCTACCGCAGCAGTCAGTGTTGATAGCAGCTGGTTTTTCAACAACGACACGTGGAAAAAAGGGCCAGGAATCCGAACGTTGCTGATACTATATAATAGCAGGCCGGTTTGCATTGACCATGGCGGGCACTGTTCCTTTGGTTTTCGCTAGTGGCTGTGCCGGCTGTAGTAAAGCTTGCACAGAACTTCTCCTTATCCCTTTCCTTCGCATTTTTCCTCTGCTAGTTCGTTGCTGATCGACAAGCAGTGCGGGCTTTTGCAGCGCATGAGTCTGCGAAACAATACTTGTATCTGGTTCAACACGACGCCGGCCGTCTGTCGCTGCAACGCCGCACCAGCGTGCGCCATATGAGTTTAACTCTTTGGTACTTTCGAAGTCATGGAAGCGTTGGTCGTCGTGGCGGCGGCGGCGGCGGCGACGGCGACAACTGCTGCCGCTGCCGCCGTCGTACGGATTTGAGCGGGAGAAAGAGATTTGACGTTGAGTGGAGTTAGTCCGGCCCACTTCTTTTTATGCCTGGTCGCGGCTTTTTTGTCTTCAACTACACGGAAATCCCGTTAAGTTAACAGAAAATAGCAGAAGTGCAAGAAGGAGGCAACGTCGAGGATGCCGTTACCGCTTCTGACGACGGCAAGCAGTGGATGTGGTGGATGAATAACGGAAATGGGCTTGGAGACAAGGGATGCTTGAGTTTATAGGTAGTCTATGATGTGTGCTTGGTGCGTGTTGTGGGGTGTCAATGCTGTCGCTCGTTCCGTTTGTCTAAGCGTGGCAATTTACTGCTCGTATTGCGACATCATCTATCTGCGATAGCTGCTCCGGCACGGCTGTGTGGATACGAGCGCCACGAGGTTCGGTGAACGCGCATCCGACGGCGAAGTGCCTGGTCTTGTCGGCGGCTCATCGACGGCTCTGGCGGTCAGACGCGAAGGACTGCCGGAGCTGTGTGAGCATTTTTATAGTTGGCTTGCGTGTGTGTATCCGAAAGTGCTCGGGATGTCGCGACTGCTCATGCAACTGCTGTCCCCGTTACTGTTGAAGTTCCAGATTATTATTATTATTATTACTACATTATAGAATAACAATAGTGGGTAAGTTATATAAAAACAGACGTGGTTGAAAAAGGCAACGGCCAAATCAGTAGTGTCGCCGTTCGCTCATTATCAGTGCAGGGGGAGCAGGAGCTCTGGCTCCCAACGTTGCTCCGCAGTTAGCCAAGCCGGAAAAGTTCATCTTCCAATTCGTTTTTCTCAAAAAATCAGGAACGAGCACTGAACGGAGCGACAGGACCAGCCACTGCGGCAGCGCCATTAAAGGTACTACTATACTACTGTTAATAGTAATAATAATATTTGGTCTCTTCTCGGGAAAAATGTTTGGGTGAGGATCACCAGAAAACTCAAGATGAAAAAGATTCCGGATAATACGGATGCTACAGCTGCGCTGCAACGCATCGCTACTGTTGTTATCGAGAGACGCTGGCGTGGGTTCTACCCGCAGCGATATCAAAGCTACTTAAACAAATTTCAACGGCGAGGGATTACGATGACTCAGTATGGAAACGAACAATGCAACAGTAATAGCAACAATCATCGTGATGATGACGACGGCCATTATCATCATGGTGAAGATAGTGTCCACCACTCGCCACTGCCAACGTTCAAGAAAGCGCTCCGGTACGTTAAAGGAGTTGATGCGAATCTTGTGCTATTATATAGCTCCTTTTTGGCCATTAGTTGTTATTTTTGGGTACCGGTTTACACTGCCACAAGCACCACACCCAAACTCATATATACGGAGCCTGTGTAAAAGCTATGAAGTGTTTTATAGTTAAACATTAACTGACAGGAGACAACAGAAAACGGGTTTTAAAAAACGTATGTTTAAGGGCAATTACTGAATACTAAGGGAAAAGAGTCGGTTTTAAGAGTTGCACGGCTTTTTGCCCGTATCGAGCACAGTATTTTGCCCCCTAGAAAGACAAATTTGTGTTAGATTTCAGCTGTAAAAAGTAAGATTGATATTATACACAGCTGTTAGTCGCAAATGTGTGCATGTTATAAAATATTATAAGAAGAATGAAAATACTTAACAAAAGATAATTAGCTGGTTATTACGGACAGAAAGGAGGTTGTCAAGGTCACAAATGTAATGATGTCCTGCCTAATGTTTTACGTCGAAACTGGGCGACCAGATTCTAATTTATTTGCACGAAACGTTTGTTAAAAATATCACTTTCTCTATGTAAACATGTTTTTAAAGATAGAGATTTGCGAAAGGAGTTCAGGCTTGGAAAACCAATGAGTAACCGTAAACAAGATCGTTCGTAAGATGTAAAAAATAGCTCGTGAGTACAATCTATTAAAGAAAAATGAATGCTGGAGCTTGTTATTATATGATGTTGATGTTTCGCTCGTGCAGGTTTATCTCCTGCCAAGTTAAACCTAGTCCTTAGTGGGGCAAGTAGAAGGCACCTGTAGTCGACGTTTCGTGTTGCTTTGGTGTCCGCCCGTTGCTTGGTTAACGCGCTAGGTTGAATAAGGTAAGTTTGATAAAACGCACGATCTTCACTGATCCTTATTACAAACCTAATCCGAAACCTACACCGAATGGAAAATTTGAGTACAATTTAATTCGACTCAATTCAGTTTAGGTTTTGAGAAGTTCGTGTCTCACAGAAAGGATCTAATTAGCTGTCTTCGGTAACATTTTAGCTTCAAATTAGCATCTATAGACAGCCCAGCTAGCAATTTTCCCATCGTGACTTCACATAAATCAAGATGATCTCTGAAACCATATTTCAGCTAAAACTAAGTAAAACATAGAAAATGCAACGACAAACAAGCACGAACTAATTTAAAAGTAACCCATGCGATTTGTGGGTCGGCCCGCAGAGCTATGGCCATAGAAAATAAAGGCAGTTGTTAAGTATTTGGCCGCACTGTGAGAGTGTGCTGTCCGAATGGTTGGTGTGTATTTGAGAACTACTATTAAGACATACTTTGAGCGTCTAATATTCGACAAACCTTGGAAAAAGTGGATGCCAGATTTTCTGTATGAACAAAACGAAAATTATGGTCATCTTGCTTAAACATATCTCGTGTGGGAGCTGCTGTAACAGGCGACAGCCCCCGAGACTTTTTTTTAAATACTTACAATGAACTAGAGTATCTTTTACTACAAACTGCGTTCCACCACGACGAGGCAAGACTCCAATATAAACCCAAGTTGAAAAACCCAAGGAATCGTTTGCCTTTGATTTAATGAAGACTCTCACCCCAGCAAAACACGGTTTTTTTCTGTATTTTCTTGCGGAAATGCCTAAGCGCAAGCCCCCGTGTGTGATTTACTAAAAAACAGAATACAATAGTTCTAGGTTACCAAGGGACGGTACAATACAACAAAATCTGGTTAATTTGATGAGTTTTGTTTCGAGAACTGCTTTTTTCACCCGTGCTTATTATATTTAATAAACTTCAGAATAAAAACTGGAACTAGTCGGAGCCCATATTTGGATGCAGCTCTTAGTTAGAACTGCAGATAAGGCAAGACTCGGATTTATCGTACTGTCTCCAAATACAACTTGGCGCATGCAACATTTCTATTTTCGGTTCTCATTAAAGAACAGTGTTAGACTGATGGGGGCCCACCAGCCGCTCTCAAGGCTTTAACCCTGCCTGAAGGAGCGCAGTTGCACTTACTTCAAGATAATGGAGCACACGTTAGCTACTGCTACAGCCGATTTGCAGGAATCATTTAGCGCCGTGGGCATTAGGCCATTCAATTCTTTTCGACCGAGTTTTTTAGATTGAGCCTACTTATGTAGGGGCGATATTTTTCATATTCAGAGGACGGATCCTAACTCTTGAACAAGTGTCGATTGAAACGATTTTTCATTTAATTCATTATTATTCATTTTTTTTTTTATTTATATTTAATTCATTAACGATTCATTTAATGAAAAGGACCCTACCAGAGATATGGCAAAGGAATGGTCGAGCACCACCGTCAGGTACGTCTAGGAGTTTTCGCGAATAGTTAAAAGCGTCGTGCCACATTAAAGTCTAAGACGCGGTAATTGCCGAATTCCTTATATATAAATGAAATTATACATAATGAACATAAATTCGTGTTGTGTCCTTGAAGCCTACTGAGAGTAAACTGTTACAGTAAGTAAACTGGCTAACGCTGTTTTTTACTATAATTACTAAGTAAATAGATGGCTTCTTTATGAACCACTTCTTGCGGATTCTAATAGATACTAAAGCAATATATACTGATAAATTTGCCTGCTAGATAAAACTAACTTAGTTGTTGGCGTCACAGTTTTCAAATAGGTTAAATCGGTTACTGAAATTATCTCTGTTTTACCCTTTCGGTTCTTACAGCGTAATAATCAGTTTAATGATGATATTGGAATCAGTTTGTTTGGAACGGCATTAACGGGTAAAGTCAAAAAATGCTGACAATAGCATTACGTTGAGTAACTTACCTGATATCGTGCAGATCGCAGATGCTAATGTGTCTATGGCATGTTTCCAATAAGGTGTTACATGTAATAAGCACATAAATTAGCAAACACAATAGGGTTCTTAAAAACAGGTCCAAGCCTTATCTATCATTTAACTTCGACAAATAGTCCAGACACTAGTTATCGTCATACAAAATCAGACCCCCAAGGGTAGCTCTATTGACCAATTAGGCAAAGCTGTCCTGCAACGCACAGAGGGGGCGCACTGTTGCGTAGCCAGCAGTGCTATCAAAGTCTGCCGAAGCTTGTCTCAACATAGTGTGGCCTTGCTAAATTGCGACCTTTGCCCAATTGTTCACGTGCGACAAATTCGACGTTTTGTTGAAGAAGTGTCAATAAAAATCGGCCAATTTTTCGCCGCTTCATAGTAAAAACACATAGATTCCAACCGGCCAGAAATCCTCCTTTTTATTCTGACAATCAGGGCCAAATGGAATAACCGTCGTCACGTGAGCTAACAACGTACTTCCATTTTTTTAGGGTCGTTACATCTCACAGTACGCGTACGAGGCTTCGACATAACAGCAAACTCGGGAAGCAACGGAAGACATACGATTAGGTGAACAGTAATGCCAATGTCAATCATCAAGTTCAAACTATGTTTTTATCTCCTTCTCTCACATTTCCTATATATATATATAAATTGGAATGCTTTGTGCAGTCTTAGGCGATATGAGGAATTAAACAGAGGCAAGATCATAGCAGGGCTCAGGGGGCTTAAGTTACTAACTCGTTCATACTATTTTACGTTATCGCGTAGAAGGATTTCTGGGGTGCAACTCACTCTTGTTTAGGCGATAATAACGCGGAATACGGTTCGACGCAGGAGACTACGTCGGCTCCTGTGCTTTAAATAAATATTATTAAAACTTTTTAGGCTTAAACAAGGTAGCTTTAAAATAAATTGTTAAACAAAGACATCATCAAGAGATCGACAACAGAATCTTAAATATTGTTTGCGTTACGAAGTCTATTCGTATAAAGCACTCACTAAAATTTGAGTCATGCCTATTACCCCACACAAAACCTAGGTAACGTCACGTAACATATGAGTAGTATTCGCCTTAATAGTCCAAGACATCCATAATTTTATATATATATATATATATATATATATATATATATAGAGAGAGAGAGAGAGGGAGAGAAGGGGGGGAGAGAGAGAATTGACTAATGGATTCTCAGTTAGTCGACTATTGGTAAATCCATTCTCCTATAGTCGTTTCCTGAAGACAACTAGGTAACTAGATCCATTTGTCAAGTAAGTTAGAAAACCATGCACAACAGCGAATGGAAATTAAGTAGATAGCTCAGAAGTATGGATAAAAAAAATGTAGTCGTAAATTGAAGTAGAGAATTGTTGTTGAACGTAAACAAAACATCCGAACGTTCAAATTTTCACGGTTGTGGCGGGAACCTGCTGATCAAGACAGAAAACGTTTTCAGTGCCTGCAAAGAGAGAATTGTATACGAGCGGCTTAAGAGCGAACAAACGGCAAACAGCATTCGGTCAAGAGCAAGGCGAACTGCAGAACTGTCTCTCCTTGACAATCGTTCAACAAGAAATCGCGCGTCAGGCTATGCTATTTGTAAGTATACGATGTGGACGGAACAATGGTCTTAGTGTCATGAGCTTTAAGCCACAGCTTAGTGGCTATAGTGGGATGAAGTTAGAGAACAGAAATAATCCGATAGGAACTGGGCCTCTTTTAGCCCTCTTTGGCCGTTTCCTGCTCTTTAGCATAAGGTGTTCAGATGCGTTTAGGCACTGTGAAAATTTATATAGCTTGTTTGTTGTAAACTTACGTCTCTAACTTTTACCAGATCTAGTCGAATAAATGACTGCGCGAGTGCATAGCTAGTTCGGTCTTTATATAAAGACGAACTAACTATGAAATAGGTACGATGTGCCACGCCTAATCAACCTATACTCACGTAAAGGCTATTCAAGGACAGAGCACATATATTTGATAGGCTCCATTTAGACTCGAAAATTTATAAAGGGAAACATTTATAGAATTAAAATGTTCACTAATATTAGTTGGGCTGATAGTATGGTCATTGGGTCGCTTGCAGTAACTTGTCTGATATTCTAGACGAAACGATATGCCGTTTAACTTAGGTATAATAATTATCATTATTGATATAAAGCTCTGAAGAAAATTTGAAGAATACTGAAGAAGAAACCACGATTATCTGTTCCATTTATTCATAGCTGACCAGTAAGCAAAAAAGAGTTACAAAGAATTACGAAGAATGGAAAACCAGGACGGAATAACAGGCGGAGTGTTTCGTCAACACGTAAATAGTACGTCTTTCAAATAAATATATTTCAAAATTATCTCATTTGATGTTATATTTGCGATTGATTAAGACTTTCCATATATTGCATTTCTGCCTTTACACGGTTCAGGGGCATATCTTCGGCAAGCTTTTAAAGTTGGAAATGCTCGCAAGGTAGCTATTCGACCCACAAGAATCTTTCTTAAAAAAGCACTACCGCATATCGATACTGTATGCACAGATAAACACGAATAAACATACAAATTCCGAGATGTGAACCGCTTGAACGAATACAGATGACGATACAGTAAAACATGTGTATATTTTAAGGCTCGTTTACGAGCTATCTGGAAGCTATCGAGTTTTTTGTAAAGGAACGGCGGGAATTGATTGTGAAAGCAATTGCTGCGTTCATGCATAACAAGCTTGGGCAGATGGGCCTGCCGAACGGCCAATGCTAGAGATTCCGCAGATAGTTTCAATTAATTATGTTGTCCTAAACTGAGGCCCATGCTAAAGGAAAAAGCGGAATCATCGCTAATTTCCTTCCCCATCGGAGCTTTCATTAGAGTGACCAATTTTTTCTCGAATTAGCCTGATTTGAGTTCATCAGAGTATGTTATGTACGTTGAAACGAAATTAAATAAAATAAACGAATTAGAAAATAATACGAACTTGTAAGCAAGTAATTATAACTTAAACAGTTAGTTCGTCTTGAAGATCGAGCACTTCTTTCAGCTCTTCATTAGGTACAAGAGACGCTTAATAACGAAAACAAAGAGTACATTTGCTGGCCCGCTATATAAGAAAAACTACTCGAAACATCCATAGTTCGAGCGACCTATATCAGTCTTCCCATCAGCAATTTACTGAATAATGGGCATTTCTACATCCAAATTAAGTTGGTGCTAAAATAACACGAAATAATAACATGGATACAATATATCACTTTCGATGCCTGTTTATTGTGTGAATTCATACGGACACTGAAATCTTTATAAGTTACGTAGTGGCGCTCCTGGTATGGACCAATAGATTTTCAGGGCGTTTGACAATGTCTACTAGAGATCCTAATTAATGGTCACCAGAAAGCGTATGATCTGATCTGACTCGGTGGTAAGATCATATAATATGCTTGCTGCCACTGCTGAGCTTAATGCGATATTTACAATATACCCCCGTGTTAGCTGAGTCTGTATGGCTTCTACTATTGGTTCGCTTTCTGTTTAATCCTGCCTCTTGTTTTTTTTTCACGTATTCCAGGAAGAGTGGAAACAATTCTTGGATATTTACCCGTCCGACCAAGCATTGTTAGAAGTTTGTATCACTTTAAGCGTAGTTTATTAACGTGTCACAAGCAGTGACATTGCTGATTCCCAAATTTGAATAACTGCTATAAAACGTTTACTGTATCCCATGTTCTTTCATTAATAGCTACTAGAGCGGCTCATACGGCCAGAATAGGAAAGGCATTGGATACTTTATAGGGCAACAAAATAAAGAATATTTACAAGATTGAAAGCAATCCGCCATAACAACCACTAACGCATGACTGCCATTTTCTACTGTAGCTTGACCGCTGTGGATGAGATGCCTGTAGGCGTCATTGGTTTACAACTGTATAACTGTCGTTAAACTAGCACTATATATATATATATATATATATACATATATAACTCATTCCATAACTGAAACTAACGGAGAGAAGAAGCTTTCGATTGCAGCGCACAAGAGAAAGAAAACGACGACGCTAACAATAGCTGTTGTTAATGGGGCCGTCAGCTCTGGCGCTACTGGTCTGAGGCGGATTGAAAGTATTTGCCGTAGAAAAAGAAACAACAGCAGAAAAGACACGAGTGGTAATGGTCGTAGTAGTAGTTTGTTTACATACTCTTCTATCTATCTAACCAGTTGCCGTTCTCTGAGCGCGCGTCACTTAGCCACCGCGTAACTGTTAAAAAATTTGGCTTACTTTTCTACCATTACGCCAGGGCGGCGCCTATTGCAAGCAGACGCTACCGTTGCTGCTGGTCCTTGCGATTTAACATGAAAATCGTCTGCGACCAAGCAGTAGCTGGCCAGGTACTTCTAAAGCAATTGCGAGCGTTGCTGTTGGTGGTGCTGACGTGGTGGTATTTCGAATCGGGGATACAGGTGCTTCATTTGTGAATGCCTGTCGGCGTGTTGTTGCTGTGCGCGTTGGCGACACCACTCGGTATCGAGTCGCTATTGTCACTTCGGAGTGACGTTTCCCGTTGATCTCTTTGGCTTAGACCGATGACTAGTGGGCCATGGCAGCAGAATCAACCCAACGCCAACACCAATGGCAGCATGGTAGAATCCAGATCCAAGCATAACGAGAGTCATTTCAAACAAAAAGGTGGTGACGGAATAAACAACGAAAGAAATAGCGGCGACAGAGCAAGCAGCTAACTGCCAAAAGCGCGGCATCTTATCTCTAGTCTCATCAGAACCATAGGATTCCGTTCCTACTAACGTCGCCACTAAGTGGCGCCGGATGGTGATGATTCTGACCTCACTGTTAACGTTGTTTTTATTTCTTGCTCAGTACCAAACAGGAATCTAATGTTAGCAAGTGAGAAAAAATGCCAGAGCCGCCAGCTAAGTCAATGTAATTATACTTAGGCGAAGCAGGATAAGGCTAGAATAGCGCCGGCGGTGCTATTGCTGATCGCGGCTTTCCGTAGACTTGAATGAGTGAGCGTAATATTGTGAGCTGGAATTAATGTTTCCCTAATGCTTTTGCTTTGTGTGCTGGCCCACTATTTGTTCTCTTCGCTCTCTATCTGTTTTGCGATTTGATATATTGCTGCAGCGTTCTTACAGCTACGAGGAAATATTAAAGGCCGTTAAGAGAAACGCTGAGCGCACCCTTATGACATAAGGGCTACCGTACGATTTAAAGGAAAAACATCGAAACTGGACAACGAAATCCGGCCCCAGGGTTACAAAGTTAGTCAAGGTTTTGCGACAGGAGATTCGTTGTGCGGCATATTGTCACAGAAGGTGATGCCGCGCAGCTGGTCATGTTTGGGGTCGGGGGGGGGGGGGGTCGCTTAGGCGGGCAGCAATTAAGTGATATGAAACTTCCAAAGAAGATGCGAACACTTGAATAAAGAAAAATGAGATTTAGAACGAGACTCATTGCGTCGGTATAATTAGTACTTGTGTATTTTTGTGGTGCACCACTGAAAGCACACGAAGGAAGATGAGTTGATTCGCTAAATATCCAGAGAAACCGATTTCGATTATCCTTAACTGGTGTTCATCGTTCAGACTTGAAGCTAAATGAAGAATTGATGTTCTGCTCAATAGACAAATGTATCTATATTGTACATAAAGTTATTATGTAGGTTATATATAGCAACCCATGCCGCCCTTCGACGCTGTTGGGCAATCACAACATAAAAAAAAAGTATTAGTCTATGCTATGGCGAACGCTGCCGAAATATTTATTTCCCTGTCGTCTCCTACCAAATAGAACCTTTCGTGCTACAGATAGAAGACTCGTTTAGGTTTTTTTCTCGCAATAGTTGTCGCTTTCTAAAACAATATTGTTGTTGATAAGACAAATTTTAACGCTTTTATAATTTGAGGCCAGTAAATTTAACATAGATTTTCGGCTTCTGCTGAGTTTGCAGTAGCTAGTTTCAGCTAACTATGGCCAAGAATCTCAGTAGCATTGGCTCTTTGAGATAACTTCGAGCGGTAAGGTGGCCATTGTTTAGATCGAGAAGCTGCGCTTTGCATATACAACATACCGCTAGAAATAAAACAATTTTCCAGACCGATAATTTATTTACATCCAATAAGCTAAATTATTTAAATTGAGCGTAGTAGATTATTTTTTTCCCATGGTTTAAATTAGTACAACACGAAATAAGAATCAGCACTGATGCAGTTTGTTGATGTTCTGCATTTTTAAATAATTAATACTGGATGTCCAATAGCGCACGATACAGCTAAGCGCCAAGAGCACATTACTCGAAATCTTACCCTGCAATGATTTTTCGAAAGATAAATGCGGAGTTTTATGATGTCGGGCCAACGCCTGGTGGTAAAAAGCCCAAATTTAATCCTCGATCCGGCTTCGCTAGATGCAAAGCTTCAAAATACAATGTTTCGCTCTGTGTTCTTGACCCATTTAGCTGTTAGATCAGGATAAATGATGTAGTTTTTTACGATCAGAAAATCGTTCTAACAAACCGTTGACTTTCTTGATTGAAAGAGTAATTTTTCGTTGTTTTAGTGAGTAAGGAGGCCGCAAACGTATCCTCAGACACGAACAACATATAGGTATTTTGTAAACACATAAAACTCACAGAGGCATACGCTTGCACGACTCGCTTGAGCCTGTAACTTTTTACTGACATGGCCTACAGGTCTAGGTGGACTGTGATAGATGGTCTTAGGTTCTTGGCAGTGTGTCCTCGCCGCAGTGCAAAAATAGTCGTCCTATAAAGAATTTTCCAACTCCTTATTCAAATACGCTGCATACCTTTCCTCTTGCTATGTTAATCAGAAAAGAAAAAACATCAAATTCAGAACGCTTCAATGAAATGTCTAATACGTCTTCGCCAACCCAAAACGATTGCCCAAATTAAACCACTGCAATGCAGACAATTTGTTTCGTGCACAATCCATCTTTTTCTATAGCTCTTATCCTAAACTACGTTGCATTACGGTGCCAGACGAATCTCGCACAAGCGGTTTTTACTCGAAGATGCTCGAAACAAATATTAAACAATTTTTCTATATACATTATCAGTTCGTCGTATACGATGAACATCGAGAGCTTCGTCTCGTACGTTACGCTGCTCGTATGTATGTGAGAATTGTCAGCAAATGTGCCATGTTTTGCCATAACGGATAGTGCTTCCTGTCAAGGGCTGGATTGGTCTGCTCAATCATGAAACGTATTTATGCCCTCTTTGTCGGGCAAAATCATGGCAGCCTCCCTTATGCCATAAGTGCTTTAGCTGCAGCGGGCGAAGGATAGGAAGGTGAACTTTTACTGAGACTATATATAGGCCATTAAGCGTTGCTGGCAGAGCGTTCTTAAAGATGTGGATCGGTTCTATGTTCTTGGGAAAGACGTTTGCCTGGTCGGCCTTCTTTACTTTAGTGCATCATTTCCAAAGCAGCAGAGGCCTGCCCAGTGGGGCTCCGTCAATTGCGTGCTCATCGATGACACCGGTGCACTTCGCATTTCAACCCCAGCCATTGGACCATTGTAATTTTACCGTTCGGCAGTCGAAGTTACGCTACCGTTCCGGAAATGACACGGTAACTGTAACGCTGACAGTTCAGAACGAAACTACACGAGAATATTTCAGAGGATACCTTGTTAAGGTTAGTAGAGGCTTTTTGGATTGATTATCAACATAGTGGATCCAGCAGATGTACGTTTTACTGTGGACGATTGCTCTAAAACTTCATTTCACCTCAAAATATTTTAGTTTTTATATTCGATAGATCTTTATAGCCATATTGTAGAGCTTGCTGCATTATAATGTGTACATAACGAAATAATGAATAGCATAACAAAAAGATATAATAATAGGATATATTGATAGCGGTAATAAGCGCGGTTTCTCAAGGGTTTCTACGATTAAATTCAATCGAATAAATATACATTATAAAAGTCTCAAAAGTAGTTCATGCGGCAAGCAAAAAAGAATCTAAGAGCCCGATAACAAGCACGAAAAAAATGTTCATAACGTACGACAATATACCTTTGTTCGAACGTTTTCGAAAAGTAAAATTGAAATTTTTTTTCTTTGATATTAAAACATGTAACTGTATGTATCTTGTCTTATTAAGTTAAATGTTTGTTCAACTTTACTCTGCGTACGTTTTCAATGAATTTTCACGCAGGCGCTCAACCCTCTGACCAATCACGCGATCGGACAATTTCGTGAACAATTTGACGTACGTCCTCGTCCCACTTGTCACGCTGCAACACACACGAACTCGAACAGCAAAAATGAAGTTGTTCTCAGCTGGATTCCAGACGATGCGGATGAACAGGTAGTGCAAAATTTCATTGAGAACAATGAATTGTTCTATGCCGCTTACCCACGTCTTTGAGGCATAGTTCTCACTCATATTACCGCAATAACACGCATCGAGTTACATACGACTGAAGCTCTTACGCTTAAATTAATCTGAAGATCACTGCGATTCCACAACAATCAAGAGACTTGAATCCTCACGAACAGTTTGGCTGTAAGGTTCAATTTGATGAAAATACAATTCATAGTTTTTATTATTGCGATCATACGGCTGTTTTAAGCGCATTACTGATATTCTCTAAAACGTTGAAAAATTGATCGTTTTTATTATTTAATAGAAAAAAATTCAGTCACAACGCACCTAACTTTGCCTTGGCATAGAAATTCACACGCGCTTTATTCATGTTGTAGACTGCTTTGTTAATGGCCCGAATGTTTATAGGCGAACTGGGTAGTATTCGAGGCTACATTTGTCGAAACTTTCCGGAAATTTTTCGTGGGCGTGGAAAGCACCTTCCGTGGGAAGCCAGCGCGGGACGTCATTCAAAAAGAGATTGGGAGAAAATCCCATCGCAGCGAGACGGAAAGCGAACTATCCACGAAAAGCAGTGATAGCGAAGGGAAAAAACATTCAGAACCGAACGCTAGTGAGCCAAGAGTCATAGATCAATCTGACACGGGCAAAGAAAAACTACAGGAAGATAGAACTTTTTGGTTTTGATGAATAGTTAAAACTGCATATAAGGCTCAAAGGCTAAAGCTGCGCGGAGCCTTTCGGTGGAATCTGTTTGAATCCGACGGTTGAGGAGAAGCTCGAATCAACATCCCAGGTCCATCGATAACAGGAAATAGTATATTACCAATATGCTGTTACACCAAGACATATTTGCGACTTTGTTTTCAGTGTATCGTCGCCTATTTTCTCATTGGCAAGTTTTGTCATGCCGAGTAGAAGCTCAAAGATAATAGGGAAAATTTGCTCAGTTTGCAAACGATATGTAACATAAATTATAGAATGATGAGTTTATATGGAAATCTTGGCTTGCGTGTTTCTGTTATCTTGTATTGTAAAAAGCAAAGCATTGCAATAAACAGATACGTGTGACAATGTGATTCTATCACATCTGTTGGTTGTATTATATTGTGTGTGTGTGTGTGTTTATTTAAATCTATTAGCTTATCTGAATCGGCTTCATTATTAACATTAGTTACAGGTTTAACATGTAGTATGTTAGGTAAAAAGGAAAATCAAATTACAGGACTACAAATACCCGAAAAATGTTGTTGTTTTTTATTGCAGGCTGTAGCTAACGTTCGATGAATTTGATTATTCAGCTGAGTAACGTAACAAAGTGTTGATTTGGTGTTTCATGAAAAAACCATTGAATTTATGAAGGCAGAAACTATGCAAATATTCCATAGTGACTAACCACAACAGTCAATACGGTTTGTCTAACGAGAATAGAATGATACTTGCGAGCTATCATTAATTTGTTTCTTATAGCATGCATCAGCAGATTTTTACCAATTAAGACCATTACCTCCTTTAAGTGTCTAAAGGATCAGAAAATGGGCAATCAGAGCACGGGACAGAGTCACATTAAACTCTCGATAAATCGATAGAGAATAGATGGTCACATATAATTTAAAATTAAAGTCTGTAGAATGCCTCCGGGCTCCCAGTAGCAACTTCCCGTGGGAAACATTCTGTGTATCATCCTGTATGAGGATGACTGTATCAACTTACGTCTTCTGCAGCGAATTTCGGCTATAGTGCTATATTTTTTCGGCTATATTTTTTCGCTCCCAGAGTCCAGGACAGAAAGGCTTCTAGTCTTTAAAGTGTTACAAATAAGAATATTCTATCTCGATAAAGGTGAGGATAGACTGCACTAACTTGAGTAGATCCTATAGCGTGTGCACTACTGCCAAAGATATTTCTTCGAGTGTTTCACATATCCCTAAGGAGTTTAAAAAACTCGAGATATAGACCACAATATCGGTCATTATGGATTTTAGAGGACTGTAAATTTAATACTAAAATTCGTTGATAAGTTGCGCTCCTTCCTGGTTGTGCATGCGTTTGTCATTTATATGCTTCGGTCCATATTTGTGGATTGAGTCCGGTACACAAAGGCACGTATTAGTAAAAAAATTTCGCTTTTCCTAATCGCCTTGCCTTGCCTCTCCTCAGAAACTTCCGAAATTTTCCTACCCTATTCTTAAATCTGTGGGAGATTTTGTAATGCTAAACCGGCTCAAAAATAATTGTCGCGCGATTCTCATGGTGAAAAGAAGCATAATTAATATAAAACGTAAATAAACTGTTAATAATAGAGTGTTAGTGTGAGTGACAAATTTCACATTTGGTTCGTGAACGACTATGAACTTCACTTCTGTTCATCTTTGCTTGCTTGTATATCGGACGAAATGCGTCGTTTTTTTATTGACTTAGTCAATACCTTTCAATTCCGTAGGCAATTCCGTAGTAGCTCTCTAAAATTATCTACAGAGGAAGCGTTCACAGACGGCGCGCGAATTTAAAGTCGTTATTTTCAGAAAACTAAAGATATTCACATTACGAAATCAAATATGTTAAAAATGTTAATAGAATATATAGCCAGCAGCTGAACGCCAGCAAAACAATTTCTGTTGTACGTAGACAACACGCAACGATGATTCTCGAGGGATGAGTTTTTCCGACTATAGGGCAGGGAAAAGTTAAAATCGTCCGTTCACATGACCAACAATATTGTCCAGTGTCACTTGCGAGTTTTTCTAAATAGATTGGAACAATCTAGAAGAGATTCCGTCTAGTTCTCGTAATCACTAAGATGGATAAGTAACAATTGAAAAACGTGTATTTGGGTCCTTCGCGTATAAGTCTTTTATCTATGAAGAAGTAGAGTCGTTGGAAGCGACTAGATATGACATTTTATTAAAACGTACCAAATCGTCTGGGTCCTACTTCGATTGAACTAATGGTATGGCACATTGCCTGTACTGGAAGTACTATAGAACTTTCCGATTAGAAACGATTAGCAAGGAGATACGTTCAGATAAAGTTTGCTCTAAGCCTAGCTAGCATCATATCCAAATGTGGGTGTTGGAACAATATTGCTGATATTAAAAAAGCCCTATTTCTCGTACATGTATCGAAGCATATTCAAGAGTCATCGGTTTAACCGATTTGGTCTTTAGCTAATAACCTAAGAACCACTGGCTAACGATTAGGAACAATTAATACATTTATTGGGTTAGGCTGCATAAAGCAGGTAGCCTCTTATGAATCAATAAAATGCACAACGTCGGGGGGCTGACTATTGGTTCCCAAAATATTGTTACGGAATAGACTTTTTAATCGCAAGGACATCTCTACAGTCTATCAACAGATTAAAGAAAATATTCTATAGCCGGCCTTTCGCAACAGGATATTTGTAAGATCACTGGATAATAAAAGGAAGCTTTTCAGCGACTGACCGAAGTTATTTCGAAGCACTTATGATAGAAAAACAGGATAAACACTGTGAGTTTACGCCAAGTGGGATTTTTTATATCAAGATAAAATAATCGACCGGTTTCAGTGCTTACTTCCGTATCAACTAATATTTCCAGTTTTTTACAGTCAACTAAGGCTTGGCATACTATGCACAAATAATTTACACATATTACATACACAAAAAACACAATACAATGCAAAGTTAACTAGCAAAGACAACCAAAATGCGAGCACAGCACCTCCTACATTTTGGTTCTAGAGACTCTGGTACTACAGAGGCCGCGAGGCCGGCGCACTCGTCCTTGTGGTCACTCAACTTCCATACGTTCTTTCGACTCCGCCTTTTCATCTTGATATGAGCATTGCTTAATTACTCTAAATTGATGGCACAACTAAATGTTCTTCAAAAGTCTTCTAATCTTATACCCACGTAGCGTGACGATATAACTCTGTTTGAGATTCGTAAACTCTTATATGTATAAACACATTTAATTGAACATGGAAGTTAATTAACATGCTGAAATTCATTTTTATTCTAGGCTACGTGTTTAAATTATTTTAGTATGTTAGTTGCTTATCTTTGAAGCAATTAACGAGTTATTTGAATACAGTGTAAAGTAACATGTATACATACTGGCGAAGCTGTTAGCGCGAGCCTTTTATTACTCTGAATATCGATGTTATGATACAGAATCCTCTACGCAAACTGCCTAATTTTTGAGTACGTGACACAGCATCGAATGAATAGCTACAAAGAGCCTTTTGGTCAAGAAGCTTGATGTAATATACATTAAGTGTTGACATGAGGTATTACAGTTTTATCCAGTTGGCCACTTCTTAGAAATATCTGAACGAGTTACAATGAGTCATACTGCGGGAGTTTGGCCATTGCTTGAATTATCGGTGGCTCTCGACGCTACACAACCGACCTTTGAATACAGGGTATGGAAAAAAGAGCCGTGATTTAAATACTTTCTCTAGTCGTACATGCAATTTTTTGCTTTCAACACCATACGACGCCTAATATACCAGTTCCCTTTAGCCGTCATTTTCGTAATGGCACGATTCTTCTTCTAAGTAACTTCTTCGCAGCGAGGTGGATCGGCGGAAATAGATCATTACGGTATGTCCCGTTTACAAGTTGAACATAACGCCGCGGTGGAGCGCGATTCTTCCAGGTCAATTAACAATAAGCGAAACCGCGAAAATTTGAATGATAATATAGTAGGAGGCACACACGAAAAATGAGTTCTTTCTTTACCAAATACTCTTATTCAACGCATATATTCGAGATAGCTAAATGCAAAGGACAACACAGATAGCGTCGGATCGACATAAAATGCAATGAGCCAAAAACAAATCCCTCAAAGAACGTCATAAAGAGATAGAATTAACTATTACAGGGAGAGAAGCATGAAGAACAGATGGGTCTACAACAAAGACATCACAGAAAACCAGGGACCTCCAGACTGGCGCCATTACAACTCTCGAGGTCGACATGCGGTACTCGGATCTCTTGTAGAGCTTGCAGTAGGCGAAAATCAGCGAACGGAAAATCTTACTATAAACAATTAGGTTTGGCTTCATTTACATCGTTACTGTTATTAAGTTTGTTGCCATTTCAATAACAAAAAATTTTAATAACAATTTATCAATCACAACGCAATAAAGCTCAGTTTAATGACCTGCAAGCAGTTGCGCGAACTCATCAAGTTCGAAAGCGGTAAGAAGTGAAATAAGGAAAAAATTCACGCCGCCCGTCAAAGCCTTACCAACGCACAAAGCTAAAACCTAGACTTCTATACATAGCAGTTATATATGTATATATACTTCACTACATCGATTACATATATTATGTACTTCATGAATTTATTTATATCAAGCGGACGAGCTTGGAATTCGGCTACGCCTGTGCTACCAAAAGATCTCAATCAGCGGCTGCGGAGCCGGAGATCTGGCCGTCATAACCGCCTGTGCGGACAGCAGTGCCGCTTTTTTCAGATAAGTTTAAGTTGCAGTTGATTATGACTTTTCCATGTGGCCAATACCGCTAGTATAAAAGCCACCTTTGAATAACCCTAATGTATATAATATAGACAAACTCCAACACATTACATGCCAGTCAGCGGTAAAGCGGAAGCTAACACAAAGTAGATTTTCCTCTATTAATTCAACGTTGTTGATCGAGATAAATCTCTCACACAGAAAATGCCACCGTATATAAAGAAAATCACTGTGATTCTCCTATACAAACCTCTTTAATTACTTAATTAATTATGATTCACTGGACTTAGCTTCAAACGTAGGTCCCCGTTTCGGGAAGATAAAGCGTATGATCCAAAAATGATCGAGAAATACAAGATGTAACAATCCTAAAATTGAATGAAACCACCAACATCGTGTTTTCCGTAAAAGATCATTTTGAAAAACAGTGTTAGCCTACAGGTGACATCAAAGCAAGCTAAAAACACGAATTAACAAAAGGAACAAGGCATAAGGTAGAGTCCACATGTTTTCTATGGACGAAAAAACATACATATATTACGTAATACGAACGTAATGAAAAGGGAAATATGTTATAATTTTTCGGCAAACCGTTTTTAAGCTA